GATTGTTCTTACTCTTCCAGTTCCTTGAGAAGCAGCAACAAGTTGTTCATTTAACATCCTTACTATTTTTGTTGTAGGCATTCATTGTTGTTAGTAGTGTCTATCTATGTCCTGTAAGTTTTGGTAGCTTGTTTTTCCATTTTCATTCATTAAAGTCAATATTAAATTTCCTTCTTAATTTCTTCCTTTACCCATTGGTTGTTCAGAAGTAAGTTCTTGCATTTCTGTAGTTTTCCATTCTGCTGAGATATCTGTAGTCAGGCAAATTGGTGCCTTTTTATTTTTTTATTTTTATTTTTTTCTCATTCAGCTTTGAGAATCCTCTATTTTAACCTTGGAAAATTTTGATTATAATATATCTAGGGATAAATTTGGTTGAGCTGAATCTGATTATTGATCTTCCTATACCTGGATAGTTGTATCTTTTTTAGGCTTGGATACTTTCCATTATTATCTCTTTGAATATGCTTTCTATTTCTATGATATTCTTAAATCCCTCTTGAGTCCCAATAACTAATATATTTGGTCTTTTTGTGCTGCCCTAATATTCCTTAAACTTTCTTAATTCCTCTTGATTCACTTTTCTTTTTCCTTCTCTGACTGTGCATTTTCAAACTGTCTGTCTTAAACCCAATGATTGTTTCTTCTGTTTAATCTATTTGGCTATTGATGCCTTCCACTGCAATTTAACTTTTGCTTAGTGCAGTATTCAGTTGGTGGATTCCTGTTCAGTTCTTAAAATTGCTTCCATTTGTCAAATCTATTATAATATTAAGTCATTTATCTATATCCATTTGAAGTTATTCAAATTTCCTGGCAATAACTATTTTAAATTCTTTATTTGAGCAGCTGAAAAGCCACTTTCTAGGTGGTTGGTTTCTGTACTTGTTTCTGCTTGTTGAGTGAAGTGATGTTTCCCTGAAAGTTCTTAATGCTTGAAGGCATGTGTAGTCACCCGTGTATTGAAGGATCAGCTATTCTCTTCTGTTCTTTGTTGTTCATCCTAATCTGTGGGTGTCCTTCCAAAAATTATACTCATTTCACTTATTTTCTCTAAGCCTGTGAGCACTCCTGCTATTTCAGCACAAGACTGTCCTCCAAGTAGACATTTGCTGCAAGCCCACTATTGGTTTGCTGTCACTCTTTCACTCCTAGAGGATATCACATGCTGATTCTTGCATCAAATTCATTCATAGTTGGTGTGTTGCTTAAAATGAACTGGAGAATGATTTATGAATGATTCCTACAAGCCGCTTCCTGGGGCTTAGATATATGTGCTACTGAGAAGGATGCATAGCCCAAGGCTAGTATAACCAGCTGGCTAGTATGTAAATATGATCAAGTGGAGCCACAAGACTCCATTTGGCACTGAGGCAGGTTCACAGTCTCCATCCACAGGTAATAGCCTAGGGGTGGTGACCAGTAGGATCTTCTCAAGGTTGGGTTTTATTATCTCAGAACTGCATTCTAAGGCACTGTTCTTTGGTTCTGTCTTGTCTACCCAAGTTTGGGATGGGGATAATAAGGGCAACTTTTTCTCTGCCCCATTGGGTAGTAAATGAGGTCACATTTGAGTATCACGGTCATCAGACCCTATATAATCTTGTAGGTACATATCAGGCCCATGTGAAGCAGGCAGTGACATATGCCAAAACAAATCCATACCACCAGTGTCCAGATTTCTATCTGACACTGCAGCAAGTCTAGATCACCTGTCCAGAGACGTTGACCTAGGGACTGGGACAATTAGGATCTGTGCAGTGTTGAGTTTATAGACTATCACTGAGTCTCAAGATTCAGCTTTGTTGTTCTTGCTGTCTCCCCAAGGTTGGAAGAAGGGAGTTAAAGGTAGCTCTTTGTTTGCCAGACTGGAATTAAGTTGGGTCACATCTGGGTGTCAGAGTAACCAGGCATTGTGCAATCTCATGGGTGTACATCTGACCCACATGAGGCTGGAAGTGATATACACTGAAATGATAATGTCCTACTGGGACACAGGTCTCCTCCTGCTGCGGAGAAACTCACATAAGCTGTGTCTGTGAACACTAGTTTGGGGTAAAGACATTTGAGCTTTATCTCATGCTAACTATAATAGCAGTAGGACTGGCTCCAAACTTCAAGGCAAGATCATAAGCTCCCTTTCCTGCCTCACTCCCAGGGGTAAAGTCTTGCTCCATTGTCTGCTGTATTTTGGGGGTATGGTTTTGGATGCCTCCCTGAGCATCATGGCAAAGGAGAATTAAGCCTCAGTCTGCAGGTATGAGCCTGATGCAGTGACCATGGTGCCCTCTCTGGTACTATTTTTAATCATGGTGGGCCTGAAACTCTGTTTTAAGTCTGAGGTCAGGATCTAATTCCCTCTCCCTCTTCCAAGAAAGAGGTAAGGCCTCTCTTTCACTATGTTCCACTTCTTAGAGCTGTGAAAGGGGAGGTATGGGAAACTCTTTCATTCTTGTTTTCTTCCATTCAATTGCTTTTTATTATATTAAACCAAGCACTGTGGTATGTCACCTGGCTTCCTTGGCTTTTGTGAAGAAGACTTGGTACATTGAATTACTGTTCATATTGGTGTCTGATTAGGAAGACAATCCCTGGAACAGCTTAAGTAATTGGTCTTCCTCTGTTTCCAAATTCCCTTTATTATGAAGCTATACATTACATACATTCATAATAATTCTCATGCATGCATCTTGCTACTGAATGTAATTAGATATATGTTTTTGGATTTATGATCAAGGCATAAATATTTTTAGTTTAAATTACATTACTGTCTAGTGCTAGTCTTGAAGTTTTACCCATTGTCAAAACATTAATACTGCTATCTATTACAAGAAACTAATCTATGATCCACCTTGAAATATACCTTTAGAAAAAGATATGAAAAGAGTATCTTTAGAAATTATTTTCCATCTATGAAAATGAATATGTTCTTTGTCATTTTGGTGGTAGAGAATAAATAGTTAAAGCCAAATTGGCTTTGCTTGGAATGGGGGTTAATGCCTTCACGAAGGAACTGATGAAGCATATGACAATGTATCAACCTCTCCGCTTAAATAAGTTCAGTGGCACTGATAGATGAGCTTCTCTTTCCAAGTATGTTGGGGTCATTTATAATGGGTGAGTTAACTATGTTAACAGTCAACACACTAATCAAAATGTGTGGTAGCCTGCCAGTGGAATGGCTGATGATTTCTGCTTGTCGATCTAAAACCTCTCGAGGTAAACTCCCTGGCAGACTAAAAAGGACACACAAAAAAATTAAGCTGGAGCATGGAGCTGTGCCATGTCTAACCAACAGTGGACAACAGGAGGATTGTTTAAGCATGCCGTTGATCATGATTTATGGACTTCGCCTAACAGGTACTTCACAGTATCCTTTTCCTCATAGAGAATGCATTTAGAAAGCTACCCTTTATGTCTTCTTTCTCCTTTTTAGGTGGTAGGGCATTTTAAAATAATGAAAGTGGTTACCCATGTTTTTTATAAAGTCATTATATGCAGCAACAAAGAGTGAAAACAAATGTGGGCCTGTACTGGATACTTTCCCCATTGACTTGGGATTGCTATCCTTTCTACTCTGCATTGCAGCCCGAACAGTTGAACTGACCCCCAAAAGCTTGGGCTTCCTGGGAGGGAGCCTTAGTATGCAGTTGGCCTCTCCACACTGATGCCCACCTGCTGAAGTCAGTGACATTCCACACATTTGTTTCAGCAGGAGGTGCCACATGCTGCTCTCACAATCTGGATAGAATTTTTTTTTTTTAATCGTCAGAATCATCTTCCCAGTACTAACAGAATTGTGACAATTCTGGAGAAAAACCAGGAAGAGGAATCAAAATGGAGAAATGTCAGTTCTTATGTTATTTGGCTTGGAAAATGTGGGCACAGGCATGAAACCGCATCTAACCATAGGTAGTGTTTGTTTTTCAAAGGAAGTATAAATAGCTGACTTCACTCTTCCAGGCATGGTAGGTAACATGCTGTTTTACTCAGAGGTCCTTGAAATTATTTAAACAAACCCTATAAAAATGAATTTGAATTGCTTCATTTTTTTCAGGGAAAAAGATTCTCAAGGTTTGCTATATTGCTATTTCCTCTTTATTTTTGGAGTATTGTTAAATGCATTGAATTTATAATGTTGCATTTTAGATTTTATTGAGGATCCCTTTGTAATTTTCAGTGCTGGTAGTCATCTAAATCATGTAACTCATTGGGACTTACAAAATACCAGCTTCACTTTCAGACAAGGTACTCTGCTGAAATTCTCTTGATTATGTGCATTTGACATTTCAGTGACATCAGGAGTACTTTATTGATCAGCATCTCCTACCTCTACTTCTAAGCATTCAACTTGGGCCTATCCATGTTAGAAGTGATCTTACTGAGCTTCTGAATCAATTCTGTCATTTTATAGTTGAAGGCACTGAGAGATTGAGTGAGGACTTGGAAAGCTACAATTTTATACCTGGTGTCTTGATTCCTAATCCAGTATTCTTTCCACAGAGAATATTCTCAGATCTTTATTATGTTTCATAGTTTGAAATTGCTATCAGTCTTGGTGTTAGCATGAAACAGGAAGTATTACAGTTAAAAGTAATCCAATAACCCAAATTATAGTTACAGTTAAAAGTAATCCAATAACCCAAGGAAGTCCCCCATTAAACCAAGTGCAGTAGCAAAAGCTTTTAAAATTCTACTCTAGCAAGATAACCTTGGTCCTCATCACAATGTGCTTCTTATGCCCTTCTGGTCTCGTTATACCTCACTGGCTTGGGATTCAAAGGATACCTTGATGTATTTGCTTTCTACAGATCTCTACCATAAAAGTTATTTGAATGAGATTCTAGCTTATCTTTAAAATACATATTTGTATGTATCCTTTTATGGATAAGAAAAATGCTGAAATGCAATATGCACAACATACATGAAAAACACTGGATAAGGAACTAAGAACTTGGAACCTAGACAACATTATTAACACATTTGTATGGAATGCTTACTTGAATCCTAGGAAAAGCCACTGGAGCCAGACCCAGGTCAACAGTAGAATTATAATGGCAGCCGGGAAGGAAAACACAAACCATGATCCAAAGTTGAGGCAATGACATCCAGGGTAGCGTCTGTGAAAATATGAGTAAGTGTTCAGGGAAGGAGCAACAATCTCTGCATGAACATTGGGAAGCAGCATTCCACTTGTGCGTGTGTGTGTGTGTGTGTGTGTGCTGCTGGCCAACAAGAAAGACCTTCTTTATCATTAAGTAAAGTAGTTAGTTTTACTCCTTGTCTCCATCTTGATTCTGTAACTACATAATTATTCCTCCATCCCACATAAGCAAGACTGGGCTTGTTGTGATTTTTGTTTCCTTTATTCAGTCTCTAAAGAAGTGCTTGTGAAAAAAAACCTGGCATACTAACTGATATTCTGATCTTCATTAAATGGAAAAGTGAGAACTGTGTGTTTAGTGTTACTACGCAAATCATCCCTGTATGAGAGAGGAAAGATAAACAGGCAGGCCTGCAGACAGGGACTCAATGTTACCATTTCACATTAGAAGTTGGCATCACTGGCCGCTAGGAAAGGACTCTGATCTAGCCCGTATTTTCTCTCATCTCTGTTTTTCCCTTTGTTTCTTCTGTCCCAAAGCACCGCAACCATCTAATGGATACACCATAAGCCTTTCTTCTTTTAATTAGTCAATGCTTTGGGTCTCAGTAAATGTAATAATCTCTCCAGGATCAGAATAAGAAAAACTTCTGTAGGGCTGGTGTTTGATGTAGTGATAAAAATGTCAGTTGGGATGTCTGCATCTAATATGGGGATGCCTGAGTTGGAGTTCTGCCTCTGCTTTTGATACAGTCTCCTGCTAAGGTACACCCAGAAGGCAGCAGGTAGTGGTTCAAGCACTGGGGTCCATGTTACTCATGTGGGGGACCTGGATTGAGTATTGGGCTACTGGCTTCAGCCTGGCCCAGACCTGGCTGTTGTAGGCATTTAGGGAGCAAACCACCAGATGGAAGATCACTCTCTATCTCTCTGGTCTGACTCTCTGTCTCTGTTTACCTTTCAGATAAAGAAAAAGAAAATAAATAATAAAAAAAAAAAACTTTCAAAAGTCCTTTGGAAAAATATCAACTCTATTTCTCAATTTTTGAGAATTATTTTCAACTTTTTAAACTCATTTAAAAACCAAATAGCAACAAGAAAATATGATCAGATACAAGCACATCTTCTTTGGTAACCTTGCACTCAATGTTCTAAAATGTAGTATAAATAAAAAATAAATTATTATGTAATCATCCATTTTATAACTGGAAAAACAATATATCTTAAACTTTTTTCTAGAGGTAGTAACACAAAGGGTTGGAAATCTGAAAAATACAGAAATACTGAATATATTTGTAATATTTTGTATCACAAAATACATAAAACTTTATGGAAACAGTTTCATTTTTGCTCTGTTTAAATCATACGTGGTATTTTGTTAATTCAAAAGGTAATGGAAATAAGTGTTTGTAGCAAATGTATGTACTTTACAGAGTTCCTTCTTCTATTTATACATGTTTCCTAACTGATATAAAGAACTAAAAAGAATAATGCTTTTCAAAACTCTAGATTTCTAATGTTTTCTACAATTTTCACTGAACCCCCCCACCCCCAAAAAAAAGATACTGATCTCCCTGGGCCCTAGAGCTATTGTTGTTAGTGATTTGAATTTTTTATCTATCCTGAAGGGATCCAAAGATTAGCTAATATATTTATAAAATTAGAGTTGGCAAATTATGGTAAGAAATGTTTTAATACATTCATGAGACTCTTGAAAATTGCCCATTTTGGACAGAATATTTGTTGTCTCCAACTAGAAAACACAAAGAGGTGGAAAAGGTTTAATTTGGGTTCCCATCAATTTGTGGGATTGTTGGGATGATGAACATTATTCTATGCTGCCTAAAGACACTTAGAAATGCTATTTGGAACAGGATCAGTGCATGTCGCCAAGCCTAACTTCCATTTTCACCATCTGCAGCTCATACCACCTTATTTTCCCCACCCACTGGAAATAATCCTACAAAATTAGTTTGCCTGAAGTGGGGCTTTTCAGAATTTTTGCCTGGAGGAAGAGGTCTTTAATTGATTAATTGATGGCAAAATTAATTAGGTTACTGCCACCCACTTGGGAGAACTGTATTGAGTTACTTGATGCCTGCTTCAACCTAGCCTAAGTCTCCCTGGCTGTTGCAGGCATTTGGGGAGTGAACAAGTAGATGGAAAATCCCTTTTCCTCTGACTCTTCCTCTCCCCCTCTCTCTTTCTTTCCCACTGCTCGCTCTCTCTCTCTCTCTCTCTCTTTCAAATAAATAAATAAATAAAGCATTTAAGGAAAGAATTAGAGAGAAACTGGCAATGTATTTGAGGACACTGAGTATTAGACATCAGGCAGAGAGGTAGGAATGAGAAGATGAACTAAACACAGTTCATTCCAAAAAATTCTGTGAGGAAACACAATATTTCCACTGTATATAAGAAGAAACTGAGTCTCAGGGCTTACGGTGTGTTTCTCAAGTTCATAAATTGAGTAGCCAGGCTGAACTTATAACCCAGCAGGAATCTGGATATAAAACAACATCTTTCATTAAAATACTGTATCCTCAGCTCTGGTTCCTGGGTAAAAATAGAAAATTCCACATATACTGAGAAAATCTATAAGCTGGAGTATAAACTTTATGTTTTAACGACATTTTAAAACAACTGCATAGATGATTGTATATAACATAGAGACATGCTTTGATCCAAAGCACATGTGTGCTTTAATGTTGATACTTAGGAAGATAACATTGTGATTGTACTTTTATAGTCAGCTACAAAATAAGGAATAACTTTAACACTGAAGAAATATCTAGAAATAGCTTTAAAAGAATGGGTACAGTCATGGAAATTTGCAAACTTGTAATGGATTTGGCCATTAGGACTCACAATAAGCTAGTGTCCACACTGATTATTGTCCTTTTCATTAAAAGCTGTTTTGATTACTTCTGAGGCAAAGCCACTTTTCAGCTTCATATTTGTGTACTTCCAGAGATTTCTTTTCAAAATATTATTAGCTGCTTGTTATTCATGAACTAGGCTTAGATTTCTAACAGCAATAGCAAAAATAGAAGTGGTGGCAATAACAAAGCTAGCATTAATGACAAGTTACTCTGTTCCAGGCTTGCGGCTAGAGGCCCACAAACATCATGCCATCTAATCCTTACAATAATGGTAGAAGGTCTAATATTGTCTTCATTTTTCAAATGAGGAAATTGGTGTTCACAGAAGCTAAGATAATAAGTAGTAGGTTTAAAATCTGAATCAAGATCTGAATCCAAGCTCCATAATGTCCAAATTTCTTCTATGGTATTTGTGAGAGAAATTATTTCTAAGAAACATATAGTGTTCAGTTCTGCAGGTGATCATGGTAACTTTCGAAGCTAGTTATTGCTAGCAATTGATATACATCTGTTCTGGTTAATAAACAAAGAAGAGAGGCTAGAGAGATGGACTTCGAATTTAGGGTAATTACGAACACTTCTCTGTTTGAATCCTTAGTTTCCAAACCTACAGAATGATAATCGCCCCCCTCCATTGATGGTTTTATTTTCTGTGTTTCAGGTACACAATGGTCAACAGATGTCCAAAAATATTAAAATATCTCAAAATATATTTTAAGATATTTTAAAAGATATCTTTAAGAAAATTCAAAGAATGAATTCGCATAAATTTTATTACTTTATAAAAGTATATTGTTATGATTATGCTGTTTCATTATTCATTATTAGTACTGTGCTTAATTTATTAATTAAATGTTACCAATGATATGTATGTGTAAAAAAGTCATAGTATATTCAAGTTTGTACTATCCAAGGCTTCGGCCTCCAGTTGGGGTCTTCAAACACATCCCCTATGGATATGGGGGGAGGCTACAATAGTTATTTAACACATAACTAGTAACATTGAGTGGAGTGTGCTAATCATTGATAATGCAATTTTCTTTCAAGTTGCTTTCTATACCCTGCATTAAGCTTACAAACTGAATACTGTGCTTTAATAATCAGAAAGTTATTGTTTACTTTTGATAATCTTCATTCTTTATCCAGTGAATCTTTTGTGTGTGGATTTCAATAATAGCTATTGTGTTTGTTAGATGTTATTGATGAATCAAAACTACTCTATAATAAAAGAAATAATTGTCCTCAATAATGTTTCCCTACATGAATTTATTGTGATGTCAAAAGATTATTTAGATGACTCCTAAGAACAATTAGCACTTCATGTATACTTTGGCACAGTTCCTCTAAATTGATGTTTACTGATCATCTCCTTGTGTCCCTTGTGGGCTAAAATAGTAAGCTACGGATTCACTCAATCTTTACAAGCTTACAGTCAGTAAAGATGGTAGTTGTGTTTTGTCAGAAGACAAATTAATAAAATAATAATAAAGTGTTAACATAGGATATGTTAAGAGAAGAGGGAATGGTAGTTAAGAAATAACTTCACAAAGTTCCAAATGATATAGTATTCACAAAATGGAGCAAGATGTTGATAAGAACTGGCTGCTTTTTCAAGAACAAGAGTAGGAAATAATGAGTTAATTATAGGGTGCTGTTTACTAAACATAGTATAAGTAGACAATAAGGTAGCTCCTGGAAGAGCTTTTCAGTAGAGCAAAATGGTCAGGTAGAGAAAACTGAGCAACTGTAGCTTCCTTAAAGAATAGTAAATAAAAACCTAACAAATCTGTAGGATTGCAACAGGAGGTGCAATCTTTCTAGAAAGTCCTATTCCAAGGACTTCTCAAGGTTAATGGTGAATTAATCACAAAGAATTATAATATTTTTCAGAATCTATGTACCATATATTTCATATTATAAGATCAAGAACACAAGAAATATTGTATACTTTGTTATTTTAGGTAATTATCTCAGACTTTTTGGTGTTATTCTGAAATTCCACCTTCCAAGCCAAACATCGTCAGCTCATGAGATTGACAACAAGGAAATGGGTTAGTCTAAGTGCCTCATAACCAACTCTGCAACCATTTCAAACAATACTTATTATGTGTACATATTTCTATATTTTAAATATCTATTTATTTACTAGGGAGGGAGAGAGAGAGCGTGGAGAGAGAGAGACAGAGAGAGACAGAGACAGAGAGAGACAGAGCACTTTCACCTGCTGGTTTACTCCCCAAATGCCCATAATCAGTCCAAGACCAAAGTGGCAACTGAGAATTAAATCTTAGTCTCCCACCTAAGTGGCAGGGACTCAGTAACTTGAGTAATCACCTGCTTCCTCCTAGGATATGCATAAGTAGGAAGCTGGACTCAGAACCCAGACGCTGGGTGTCCTAACTGGCAGCTTCACCTCTAGATCAAACACCTGTCACAATGTTTATATTTTAAGAAAAAAAATGCAGCAAGAGAATGTGAATACTCATGTAGTCCTCATGTGTTACAACAGAAAACCTACTCCTTCAAAGAATTTGCCCACATGGCCCCCATGTTGTGCCTGCAGATCTGTGAGGCAATGAGATTACAGAATGGCTCTGGCCACCTGCCTTGTCCTTGCATCTGAGTAGTAGCCACACCTTAAGCTTGCTCAGTTTCATCTGTAAAATGAGGGAGCTAGACCCAGGGTCTGAAATTCCTGTGTCTTCACTCGTTCTCTGTCTCTCCTGTTACCATTGAGAAAGACAGGTCCTTCTTTTTTTCAAGACCAAACATTTCCAGCATTGCTTCTAATGCCATTGCATTTGTTTTCATCAATACTCTAGTTTTTTCTCACACCCTCACACTGTTTGTACAGTCTCTTTCTCTCCAGTGTTAAACCAAAATGACACCTCATTCTTGTTCTTTTCTTATTGTGTTGAATATGAAAAAACCAAACTTGATGCCTTCCCCTTCCTACGCCTTAACTCTTCTTTGAATTCTGCCCCACCTTCTTCCCTGCCACCAAAACTGCCCTCTTGGAGAACATGAATGACAGCCAAATGCTTTTTATCAGCCATCACCTACGGACTCTCTTCCATCACACAGCCCCCATTCTGAAAAGGCTCTCCTTTGGCTTTCAAAGCCACATCCTCCTTATTCTCCTCCTATCATCTTCCTTCTTGTCACTGTTTGCTAAGCTTGTATCTATCCCAAGGTTTGAAACATGTGACTACATATATACTCAAGAATTTAACTTTCATTTTTATATATGTACATGATAGCCCTCCAATTTATAACTACCTCAAAAACATTTGTAACCCCTTGCTGAAAATCTCCTTGTAGATAGATTCTGAAGGCCATGTCCAAATATCCTGAATCAAATTTATTAATTTCTTCAGTGAACCTGCCCTCTCCTTGTCTTCTCTCGAAGTTCAGGGCATCATTTTCTATCTAATCATATGCACAAACATCTTACACCTTCTCTTCAGACCTAATTGCTCATGCAAGACCTCCTGACCATGAAGAATCTTGAGTCTAAGTCTTCCTATCACTTCAAAACTAGTTTAGTTCTTTCTTTCCTGGTATTTTGAGCACTTTGATGAGATTCCTAATTGATCTGCTGTCTCCAGTCTTCATGTAATGCCAATCAGTCTGCAGACTGCTATTCTAAACTCTGCAAAATATGGGAAGACTACCCCACTCCCTCCCTAGAAAAACTGTTACAGATTTTTGGTATAATGATTTTGTAAATTGTTTACACTCATTTTGTCCAAAAGTGTTGCATGTGCCTCTTCTAGGATTGTTCCACATTGTGTGGACAATTTTCTCTAGTGATCAAGAGTTGTAGCACAAGCTACATCCTTCTTTTTGTTTCTGAGGAGGTAACTTTCTGAGGAGGCAGCCTTTGTTGTCTGATATTAGTTTAGTGCTCAGTACACTAAACTGAAACTTAACTTTCTCAACTATAGTAGCAATAATAATCAACATTTACTGACCACATGCTCTGTGATATGTAGTATTCTAACTGCTATTTATTGTATATAAAACTCAAAACAGTCAGGAGAGAGAGAGAGAAATAATATTTTCTGGAAAGGTAGCAAACTTGGAGAACTTATGTAGTTTGTCCAAAGTTATACCACTGTTGAATAAAAGAGCTGAGATTTGAACACAGATATATCTATAAGATACCTCTGCAGCAAGGATCTCTAGAATATGCGCACTCTATAATGAATGTAAATTATCTAGCAAGGACTTATTTACCTTCTCCTATGTGTCAAAAAGTAAATGTTATTTTTAAAACATTTTTATTAGTTTTCACATTTGTATGCTTTGTCTACACTATAAGCTGAAATATTCTTCCTGGCAGGTTTTATTCTTTGTGTTCTCCAATAGAATTCTAAGCCATAGATTGAACATTTGTTAGTCTTCTAGAAACATTTATTGATTCAGTGACTGAAGAGGTCTGCTTTTACTAACACTGAATAAGTTTTAGGTTTCTTAGATGTCATTGTTCTTTTATGTGTGTTGAAAAGAGATGAAAACAAAACATGCTTTATGCACATATATATTTTATATAGAGACATTATATATAAATGTATTATATCTATCAACTATTAATATTAAGCTTCAAAATATATTCTTCAGTCTCTTCCTACAAAAGTATATTTGTAAGATGACATCTTTCTCTAAATGTCAATGATAGAAAGACATGGACATTCAGATTTCATGAATACTTTAGAACTGAGAGTGACCCAAAACAAAACTGTACAAAATAGCATTGGTATCACTCAAAATGATGGCAAGCAGTGTCAAAAGAAGAAGCTGTCTTTGTATATAAAGTGCAATTTATCTCTAGCTCCAAACACCTGCACAAATGATATAATTTTCTTAGCAGTTTTCAGCTCTTAGAAAATTTTCCAATAACATTAAATGTATTCTATACCAGTGTTACTTTGATATGCTATTGTATTTCATAAGGCTGCATTTAAGAAAGTTTATTAAATATTTACCTTATTTAATAATATCGGTTATGTTTTTCCACATTTCTTTCCTTCTATACCAGTATTTTCTATCAAAAGAGGACTCTCTTGAGTTTTTTTCTAATTATAATTTCCATAAATTCTAATATGATGGCAACCTCATGAAGGAAAAATAATCACAAATTTTAAAGTACTGCTAAAACATTCTATGAATTGAAAGGGCTTTTTGGCCAACTTTCTATGAGGATTAGAATATTAGACACACTTAAAATAGTTACTAAAACATTTTGTTCAGTATGTTACTGTGCTTTCAATCTATTTTAAAAGGGATTAATGCATTCAGAGTCAAGAGAAAAGTTTAAGAGAAAAGAAACTAGTTGATACATTTTGCAAAAAGACAAACACCAAAGACAAACTAAATATGGATTATTTCAACTGTAGCAAGAAATTTCATTGGAATTTTCTATACCATCAGTTTACTAACACCAAAATGTCAAAACAATAATAATCTGGTATAAATGTTAAAAAATAAGTTTATAGAGTGGATTAAGATGTGAAATATCTTTCCCTGGTTAATCCTTGCTCAAGGATATATATCTGGTTTTCAGAAAGGGAACAGGTACATTTTCTGTCTTTACAGAGTAGTCATTGAATAAATGCATTCTGGCAGTGTGAATTTTATGTTTCCCACTTAATAAACCAAACGTCTTTCAAAGGCCTATTCCTACGTCGATTGTTGGAGTATACATGACTAATTTTTATTCATAGAAACAGTAACTTACTGTACATGGAGGAGTCATTAGTATTGATCTGAAAATTCTATACCAGTGTTCTTTGTGCATACGAGTCTATTCATTCTAGAACATTCTTCGAATTTTGTATCTTTTGAAATTATTTCAAGTTCAGTCTCTGTGAATCTGCTTCTTAGACTATAGGTTTTCTGTTTTCAACCCCATTTTTTCTGTGAGAAATACCTAAACTTTGTAACTTGTCTTCCTCAATGCTGTTCATCTAATCAAAACTCTAACAAATGTCTACTATCTTAATACTTGACATATACCTTGCTTGAAATTTTTCCTTTGCACTTCTGCTAACTACCATTGGCAGTATTATTTGCAAAGAAATGCTTCTACTGTTTGAGTAGATTGGTCATCCAGGAGTTATCTCCTCTGCACTGACCTGAAGAATCTGCAGGCATTATGAATTTATTATGCTTTTTATGCTTAATTCTCAGTACAAAGAAAGATTGCTAGATCTACAGATGTCCTGATGGGAAACAAAGAAGAATTTTTAAGTCAACATAGCATTTCTTACCTTGGATTCTCTGAATCAAGAAATAGTTTTTTTTTTTTTTTTAAGTAATCTATGTGTTTGTTATTTGTTAAATTACAGTCCAATAATTCTACTTACACATTGAAATGCTCAGCAAAGATTAAGTTAGTGGAGGTCCCAGTGATCGTTGTTAGTCCACCAATGGTAGAAGAGTAAGCAATACATAAACACATAAGTTTGCACATCATATGGTCCTTCTTTGTTCGATATTTGGTTCCTGTGCCTGAGTTCTGTTCAACAACAACAACAACAACAGAAAAAACCTGTATAAGAACTACTGTCTTTGTGGTCAGACAGGCAATTTCAGTAGCTTTATTACAAATCTAACCTCCTGGGGACAGCATTGTGGTATAGTGGGTTAAATCACCACCCACAAAGTTGGCATCCCATATGAGTGGTGGTTCAAGACCTGAGTGCTCCATTTCAGATCCAACTCCCTGTTAATGCACCTGGGAAAGCAGAAGATGGCCCAAGTGCTTGGGCCCCTGCCACCCACATGGGAGACCCAGATGGAGGTCAAGGGTCCTGGCTGCAGCCTGGCCCAATCCCGGCTGTTTGTGGTGATTTGGAGAGTGAACCAGTTGATGCAAGATCTCTCCTCATTCCCCTCTGTAATTCTGCTTTTCAAATAAATAAATAAATAAATATAAATTCTTTAAAAAATCTATTAATGCTCTTTCTTGCCTTTTTGAATGGTAATTCAAAGTTTATCAAAGTTATAGCTTTTGATAAACTCAACTATTGGCTCTCTTCATGCTGTGTCAGTCTCTGAGCAGCCAAGCACTGGTGGTAAAAATTACACACACTGTACAACATATTGAATTCCTTATATCCATGATCACAAATATCAACTGCTGCAGCATGTTGCCCTTCTATCCCACTGTGATTCTCTGACCAAATTACTTTGTCTCCCCCCAGAATTTTAAAACCTTCTTTACTCTGTTTACACCTCTCTCTCAAAATTCTTTCTCACTCTTCACAGGTAGCTCTGCTTCCTACTTCACAGAGAAAAACATAGAAGCCAACATATGAAAGTATCACTGAGAAACTTCAGCATCTACTTGCATATGCCACCTTGCTTCTCCTTCTCTAACTACAAAACAGAGTCAATGTCTCTTCTTCAACTTACTGTTTTGGAACCCCATTCTCTCAGGTCTTCTCAGAAACCTTCCATCATGGATTACTGGAATTCTCACCAACATTTAATCATTTTCATGTTTGCAAATAGAAAAAAGGAAGGCCTTCCTAACCCTTTTATCAATTAAACTACCACTCTGCCTCATCTCTGTTCACACAGGAAAATTCTGAACAGACTCCATTTCCTTAATTCCTACAACCTGCGTTCTATCTCCTTGTTCCACCCTAAGTGCATTTCCTACATCCATCAACAATTTCAGAATGATTAAACTCAACAGGTCCTTATCAGTGCTGATTCTTTTGAAGTCTCAGAATCACCTAAAATAATAAACCACTCTTTCTTATGAAGCAATCCCTGCTGAAGGTTCTCTTCTGATTTTTCTTCTGTTTTTGTTCTCTCTCTCTTGCCAGTTCTCTTTCCTTAAAACCAGAATTTCTTGAAATTCTGTCAGAATGCTTTGTGTCTTCACACTCACACATCTCCTTGGAAAACTTCATATTTTCACAGGTTAAGTGAATATTAATATTAATTAGTTAATATTAATACAGCAGACCACTGAACTTCTGTCTTCATCCAGGACTCTCTCTTCTGGGCTTATATATCCAATCATCTGTTCAATATAATTTAAAAATTTCAACCCAAAACTGTTCCCCAAATGCTTTATTCCTTCTTCAAACCCAGGATCACCTATCCAAGCTAATGGCATCACCATCACCATAATAACAAATATTTATGGTATGCTGAGTAGATAATTAGCACTGAAAATGAAGTAGGTGTTTTAATTTACTTAATGCTTATGACACAATGAGATAGATAGTGTTATTATGACATTTTACAGATGAAAACCTGAAACACAGAGAGGTTAAGTACATTGCCACAGGTTACAGAGCCTGAAAATCATGGACTTCAAATTTGAACCACAATATCTTGCTTCATTGCCCTTATTCTCTGCTCCTGTGCTGTATTGCTAGTTATCCTTGAAAATATTCTCTTCCTTATCTCTCCAGATTCTGTCAATTTTATCTACTTCAATCTATCTGAATTCGGTTCCATCTCCACTGCTGTTGCCTTGGTCTAGGTCATTGTTATCTCTGACTCAAATTATTGTAATATCTTTATGAGTCTGCATCAATTCCTGTCTATTTCATGCCTGCCTTACCCATGCTGACTTTTAAAAATATTTAAATGTATTTAATAAATATATGAAATTTGTAATCTCTTATCTTTTTATGTTTGTATATTTTGATAATATATTTGGATTTTTTCTAAGGCTGTAGTATGAAGGATAGGTCCTAAATAGGCAAGAATTAGCATAAGGAGGTCTGTAAAGAGGTTATTAGAGTAATCCAGATGATATTTTCTCTACTCACGCTGTGATGAACACTTAGATTGTTCCAATATCTTGAATATTGTGAATACTTCTGCAATGAACACAGGGGTGCAGATAGCTTTTTTATGTGTTGATTTCATTTCTTTTTAGCATGAACTTTTTAAAGTACCCTTATAAGCCCACCAGATCAAATGGTAGTTCTATTTTAATGTTTTGAGGAACCTCCATGGTGTTTTCAGTAATGGTGCTTCCAAATGACATCCCCACTGACAATGTACAAGGCTTCTTTTTTTCTGGAGGATAAATGGAAGCATTGCACTGCTCTGCACAGATAAGCATGCTGTCTGTGGCACTGGCACTGTGAGATACCTTTGCAAAATCATGATAAGGAAGAAGCGTCTACTCATAAAAAGTCATCATGGATGTGGGTATGGCATTTAGCATGGCAGGGTCAGGTGCTTTGGGTTGGAATTTGCCTTTTACTTTCTAATTAACTTAAAGGTCAGCCCCTAAAGGGTTTCTTTGCCCAAAAGAAGCAATTTTACAGATGTCTCCTTTAGCCTTATGCTTCTACATAGAAATAATGTTTATTTACCATATAATAAAATTTTCCAATGAAAACTTAAACATAGTGTGTAAATAAAATATCAAAATAAGTTTCAAACTTCTGGTGAGTGATACAATATGACAACTGAAATTTAGGGCATAAATATTAAATATTTTACAATGAGGAATACTTCAATACAAACCAGAAAGTGATGCATAATTTAGATATTATGAAACTTGAAATAAGAATGAAAATTAAAATATCTACTATAAGGCAATTCAGAATGGTCATAAAAATGAAATTAAAATATAAGTTTATTTTGGTGCAGATATTTTTTATATTCATGCTTATAAGAGTACTTCAAAAAGTTTCTGGAAGGGGAGTATTATGATAAAGCTATGCATGTCATTTGAAATGTTTTTATTTCAAAATAAATTTACTTTTAATTGACTTCTAGGAACTTTTTGAAGTTCTCTAATATGTGTATACTTTCTTATTTACATATTAATTTTCAAAAATACAAATAAAGAACAATATCAGCTTTCATATAAATGCTAAACTTCAAATATGTGTGCATATATCAGTAATTATTAAGTATGTCTACTTAAATATACAAAATTATGTAATATTTAAATTAAAATGTTCATGTACATATATGTGCCTTGAGATAAGTAAGGCTAAAATGAAATGTCTTAAATACTAACAATGTTTTTTTTTTTTCTTGGTGATGAGATTAGAGATATCTACTGCCTTCATGATAAATTTTGTATCTCCTGCAATCATAAAAAATTATAACTGATAAATGAATCAACAACTCTTAGACAGGTTTTTAGAGATTAGATGTGGTACACTGATCTAATTTTTCAGAAGAGCGTTATTATATAACTCTTCACTGCAGAATGAAACAGGAATCCACGTATTTGAATTCCCTCATAGTAGTTTCTCCCTATACCATCTTGCCTTACACAACAGTTTTACTTATGTAAAATTTAAAACCTACATATAAGACTACCTTCGATTACATTTCATACTACTTTTACTACTATTGTTCCCTGTCGTGTTTTCCTTCAATCCCAGTTCTGACTTATTTCATGCACATATATGACACGCAACACTCCGTGAGTATGCCTTCCACATCCTCTTCCAAGTAACCGGACAAATGTCTACTAGGAAATAACCAAACGCAGAATCCGATGACATCATCACACCCACACACCAGATCAGAAATCCTTTAGGCCCAGCTATAACTCGCTATTGCCACCTGGTGGCAGTGATTGCCGATTTCAGGGGCAAGTTACAGGTTTCCAGCCTCCAGGGCTAAAAATGCACACATGAATCAGCATTGGCAAAACCTGTGATCTTCATAGATTGTGAAAAATAATTCACTTGTGTGGCATAAAAACATCAGGGACTCTGTTTATATCTAAGTAATTATTAAAGAACAATTGCAAAAGCATTGGTTTCCACAAACCATTTTCAGCTTGTCCGAGAGAGCCAGTTGAACATTTTTCAGCTGGTATTTGGATATTTATTTAACAACATTCATATGATGCCATATCTTGATTATTCAGTTGTAGGCATCACAGTTAATTTTCCAGCATGTTAGATGACAGAATTTAGCTTTCTTTCACAGCTTCCTTCACCGAATATACTCATCCTTGTAATGTCTCCATCGTCCTGTTAGGGTTGTATCATAATTTTGCTTACAGCAAAAGTTCTGTGTTTAGAACATTGTCTAGAGCTATACTAACAGCTAAGTTAAATAATATATATTTTCCATATCCTCCCTCAGAGTTAGAAAATTTTCTTTTTCCCCACCTGCTTGTTTTTTAAGTACATTCCATGGGGTCTATCCTAAATATCCCCTGTTTAAATCCGCTTAGAACACTCAAGTAATAGGAGATTCGGTCAACATCAAATATCTTACCAGTTTTCTTGTCTTGGCAGCCTCTCTTGAAGGGCCTCCCTGCCTGTCCTATGTCTAGCCATGTTTTTACCTAGAGCTGCAAAGAGGATCAGTCCTAAGTCTACTCTCTCACTTCATGGACACATTGGTTGAGTATTGATTCCATGGTGAAAATAAATGTTTCTCAAAACGTTGAAGCATTTTCTGTATTGTTTCTAAGCTTCTGATGCTGCTGTGACGTGTTCAGCCATTGTCAGAGCCCTTCTAAGGCATCGGGTTTTACATCTCCTTGAAAGCTTTTAAAGCTTT